ATGGATATTCTTTAATTACTATATTTGTACGAACAAGCGATGCGATATCGTCGTACGACAAGAATAAATACAAAAATCTACAGTGTCTTATTGTAGTAATCATCACGAGAGAGGTTTGATCGTGCGATTATGCATTTAAAGCTATATATTTCTTTTAGCGGTCATGCGTCACCGTACGACCATAGCAACACAAAAGACATCACGTCTTTTATGCGGTGTCGTGCGAATATTTAGGACATTTACCTCCGTTTTCACTAACCTATAACAACGCATAGCTAAGGAAACGTCTTATCTTACGAATAACCTAAGCAGATTAGTTTAATTCCAAATAAATAATTATTTCTTTTATCCCTTGACATATTTATGACCTGTCATATACGCAAATGCCTAGCGCAAGGCACCGCATAACTAATATCATAACTTGAGACATTGATTAGTTTCGTTATGTGGTTCCTAGTCAATGGTGAAATGCACTTTTACCTTAGGCGATTCCTAAATATTTGGGTAACAGATTTGGGCGATTCCTAAGTTATAGAAAGCGGGCATTATAAAACTTTCGTATGGATAGCTCGTTTGCTGGTACATTAAGCGATTCTTGAAGCAATAAGTATATGCAAAATTGGATATTTTTACTACTGTTGAGTGTCAGTTCTAAACTGTCACTACTTTAAAGTCACACGTGTAATGACCACAAACCTGAATTAGCAGAAGTCATAGGTACTTTGTTTTAACTCAATCAATAATCGCTCGGATGACCATTAGAAGTTCGATCTTATAGTTACCTACGTAATGTTTTAGTTTAAAAAAAAATCGGATATCTATTATTGTTTACATCGAAAGTTATAAGTACCTACATTGTAGGATTATAATTAAGTTATATATTGTGTACAGAATTATAATACGGAGCACTGTGATTTAAATGTTGTTTAAAAGTGTTGATCGAAGTGAGATAAAATGTTTTATTTTAAAAATAATAATTTGTTGTTGCATGGCGATGTATGCGTATGCGCTCAAAAACGTTGTCTAAAGGTTATAAATAGGTTTTATATAGAGGTAATGTAAAAGTCATTGATGAAAGCAATGGATCGTAATATTGTTTTATTGTAAATAATTTATGTCATAATTCGTATGTTTCATTACATCGTTTGTATAATTTATAGGCATTGGTGCATATCATGTGTATAGAGCAGATGATTAATCAAATAAATTAGAATGAAAAAATATAGTTGAAAAACAATGTTTCATTTCTGACACCCACTTTACATAATACTAATAAACTTTTTTTCAAACTTTGTTATACGTACTTATTCACTTAAAATTAAGTACAAAATGTACTTACTACTTACTGACGTGTAATCATCCACTGCCGTCTGCCACTGTCATGTTTATTTGTGGTGGTGAATTATTTTACTCTTTCGTTAATGAACTTGTGCATCATATCGTTTAAGAGCATTTTATACTCAAGGTACATTAAAAGAAAGCTCATTTTTCTTTGTTTTTTATCCTGAGTTGTATTTTATTACGAGCTCAGAATATATTCCATTTTAAAAAGCATTATTACATTCATTTAAGTTTGCTTTTTGTTTGTGACGACCGTGATGGTTATTGGTAATCATAATTTACTTGATTCCAATTAAATTTACCAAAAAAAAATACCTATATTAGAAGTTGTTGAAACCGAATCAGTATATGATTTTAAACAAACTATTTCCAGGATGTGCGTAAATTATGTGTAAACATTGTATAAAGTGCATCCTGTAAATTTTACTAACGGATTTTTTAGATTAGTCTAGATGCTGAATTACATGTACGCAGAGCAGCAAGATAAAAATTAAGAGAACTTTTATCACTAAAATGAGTCACTAAAGCGTACACTTAGATTCCCATTAATAATAAATTCGGTAATAAAATGGGCACTTTAACTCAATTTTGAGAATCACTATTATTGAAAGGCTATTAACACTGTTAAGGTGGGGTAGAAGTAAATTTGCCTTTTAAAATAAAACTACCCAAGTAAATGTAACATGTAATATATTTTCCATTTAAATTCTACAGTAATATCCAATGAAGACTAAATAAAAAAAAATATGTACATGAATGTGAATTATTGCAAATCTTAAAATAAAATCACAACATAAGAGAAGACGATATGCATCACAAATACACAGGAATTAACCTCATAGAGATTTATTTAAAAATTATAGATAGTATCGGGGACCATAATGTATACCGACAAAAACCTAAAATTTAACGTTAATTTTAAATAACCCATGACGTAACTAGAATGTGTAGGGTAGTTAAGGTAGTTCCCCGAGATGGAACATAAGTCCTTTTAGAACCGCAAATTCATTTTCATTTTGAAGACGTCTTTCGGTCCCCAATTATGCCATTAATTGGCTGCATTTTGAGATCACAATGAACGTCACTGCTTTAGTTAGATAGAATGTAAACAGATGGCGCTATTATTATTATTATTTGTAGTTCTATCTTACATTAAATTGAAACTATATGATTTACGCTATGTACCATAATATTATTCGTGTAATTTTGTGATGTTTGTACGTATTTGGCTGTTTTTAGTGTTTAAAATAAGATTGTTTTTATTTAGATAAAGGTATTTAGAACTAGTAGTATAAGCGCCATCTATTAGCAAACAATAAAAACTAACTTCCACCTGAATCAAATACTTTCACAGTTCATCACAGATTAAATAGAGGAGCTCAGAAAGGCAAAACACCAAAAAATATTTTGCGAGTCATGTCAATTGAAAAATAAAAATAATAAAAAAAAAATTAGGTCTTTAAAAAATATCTTGTCTATCAGCTTAAATACATCGTATTGTTCGATGAATAGATAAAAAGTTAAATGATCCTTAAATGGTCCAAGTATTTGGCTCACGCCGTAACAAACGTTAAAATTGTGAAGTGTAATGATTTTTAAGTTTAATCTATTTATATGTATAAGTATTAATTTTTTTAAAGATAATCGAAAAGTTCCGAATCCGATAAAAATTACAATATATAAACAACCAAATAGTGCGTCTGGGAATATTTGAAATAAATGAAAGTATTAAATTAATATTTTACATAACTATTTATATTACATAAATATGAATCTTGTATTATACAAGATCCAAAAAAAAAACATTTCATTTAAGATTACTTACACAATAATTTCTATATTTTTGAAGTCTAGGTAGATTTATGAATTTATTTAAATCAAAATATAAATAACATTTCTGCATTCTTATAAATTAAATAAACAAAATACTTAAATTTACTCAATTTCACTGGCGTTTCATTGTAATGTATAATAGTGCCCTTGTAAAAGTTTTTATTACAAGATTTACTTATTACACCATCAACCAACATAGACATATTTTTAACGAGATGACTTCACAATGGAAAACTAGTAGTTGTCTGTAGTGGACTAGTTTTGAGTGTACAAACTACTTGTCTAATATTCATACAATTGCATTTAATATGTTGACTTAGATTATTATACAGGGTTAACTATCAAACAGTAATAATGTCATAAGGTTGGCATAGCGAAATGTGTATCCGATACCACATTTGAAAAATATGAATATGTGAAAAGTCTGATTTAATCACTGGTAAACATCCATTTTCCACCCATTTTCCAATTGTTAAGTCGTTCTAATTTTAATATTATAGGAGAACTCGGACGCAATGCGAGATCCATAGTCATATTTATAAAAAATATCTTTTTTTTTTATCAATTCATTCAACATACGTAGTTATTTTATTACTATCTTAACACATATTATTTTTGATAATGTCGAAAGTAATGCGATCTAAATGTGGTGAGTTGTAGCTTAAACAATGGGAGTGTAAAAGATTTATATAAATAATAATGGAACTATCAACTAAACAAACTCAATAATTTAATGGATTAACTTTACTATGATATTTAAATAAATGGACGGCGATTTCATGAAAATATTATACAATGTGCCTAAATTTATTTTTAAAACTGCATTATAGCTATGCTTTAGATATAGTTTATAATAAAAAATAATTCACTATAGTATTAGCATTGTGTTTTAGGAAATATATCGAGTTTCATCAAATAAAATAATAATGTCAAATCACGTCAAAAAATTATGAACTATATTATCAGAAAGATAAAGTAACATGACTAAATAGTCATTTGGCATCTTTAATTAATCATAGAAATTAATTGTACTAAAATTTCTTTTAATATGTACTTCACGGGTCACGGGGTAAAAGATTATCGGTGGACTGTGTTCTGTTTTAAATATTTTAATAAAATGCTGATAAAAAATTTGCACCAAAATATAAAATAATCAAACTCATTTATAGTAAATAAATACGGAACGAATGCGTTTTTCATTGTTTAGTTAAATAATTTTATACAACATGCCTGTGTCAAAGACTATCTATATAAAAATCATGTCCGCATGTTCAAAACCAGACATCTAAAGTCACATACCGACTGGTTTGATTTTTCAGACAAATGCAATTTAAATTTCAAATATGACATAAGATTTTGATGTAGAATGATATCGACTTTCAGTGGCGCCACTATCTATGCCAAAAAAGTCACTGCAACCGCTTTTCGACTATTGCAACGCCTCATTAAACGTGTGACGTATTGCATTCCCTTAAGGTTCACTTTCAGAACGAAAAACAATGCAAATTGAATTTATAAAAGCTCGTTAGAGCTTAGTCGTTTGGCGTGTTAGAGTCCCATCTGATGGTTTTTTCGACACCTTAAGTTTTATACGTCGCAACAGATTTATAATTATTACAGATTATTCTGGCACAATTATCGGAGTAAATAATTCGTATCTTATACATTATTTATTGTTACAACTGAACCATCCTTCAAATATTAACGTTCACGTCTAAGCTTTTCGAAAGCGTCTGCAATTTTCACCTTTATTACTATTCAAATATAGTTTAAAACTCATTTTCTGGCTTTACCTTGAGATGGAATTAAGTGCCACTGAGCTAATATCAAATAGTTTCTATCAGCCCCTTGCGTTTCGGTCGAGATTCGGAAGATATGAATGAAGTCTCTTCTGAAGAACTAGCGGCCATTTTCGGCAGTGGCATTGAAGTGCTGGGTTGCGACTGTGAAATAAAATCGATAATATCAAGGTTTTGAAATTTTATTTGTTTGAATACGCTATTCCTCAATTTAAAAAGAAATAGTTACGAAGAAGAATAAAATAAAATAATTACGAAGAAGAATTACAGCAGAAAATTAAATACATATAACTCCCGTGAATTAACATGACTCTTGAAGGCCTGTTTTATTATTGTCCTCGAAATAAAATTCGCTGGATTTAAAATAGTTTTTATAATTCAAAATGATATCCCTGAAGTTTATCTGAGCAGCAGAAACAGTTGCATCATAAAATATCGAAAAATACTTTTCTTTGGAGTCGTACTAGCATTTCGAAAATAGACGAAATTCAGTTTCCTAAGAAATATAATAGACCTTCTGTATAATATTAATAGGGGTGTAGACAACTTTTTTATAATTTTAATTTTATGAAATAAATGTAAAATAAATATATTACAAAATAATATAATTCATTCAATAAGTTAAAATCTGAAAATAAATTTAACTATTAGAATTAGTAAAAAAAAAAACCTAACCTGTGTTACTGCAACAACGGGTGTGGCCGAAGTGCTGGCGACGTTTCTTCTTATGTCCTCCAGTGGGATTTCCTCGGATCGCGATCGTGGCGAGCCATCCCTAGATCCGTGGGCACTACTGCTTCTTGATACACTACTGTGTATATAAAAAAAACGATAATAAGAAAAAATATAAAGCGACTTAAGACGCCTACACAAAAATCGCTTATTTCTTTGTTGAAAATATGTTATAAATCTAAATAAACGGTCTTTAATAACGCAAATATCTCAAAATGTCTCTATAGATAATTATAATAGTTATATAAAATTCAACTATACTTAATATCAGCTCGTATTTTTATATAGAAAAATTGTAAACCTTTGAGGATGTACGAGTCACAATTTAGCCGAGCTATGATATTGATAAATTTAAAAAAAAAATTATATAAATTTAGCGAGTGTACGTGCCCTCTTAATTTGTTTGTTCTTCTTTCATATATCATTCCTACATATATTGTTATGTTTCTCAATGAGTACGCGAGTGAAGTTGCGGTTACCAGCTAGTACTCATTGATTATATATATGGTTTAATAACTCTGAGTGAAAAACTAAGCAGTATTACTAGGATGCTATGAGAAACACATAAGCATTACAGTAAATTATGAATGAGTGTTTTTAGTCGCACATTTAAAATAACATAAATGTAATGTTTTATTAAGCTTTCATGGCCATTCATATTGATCACGGAGTAATCACGGAGATTGGGATAGAGCCGAAATATCGGGCACTCAATAAACACAAGGTGCATAGTAGAAATCCCATAGAAAACTATAATAAGGTAAATGAAAATAAATACATTTTTCCTGGTTGTATTACTATACCATTACCGATAATCATTACACTTTTATGCTTATTAGCTTTATAATATACCTTAAATTAATTACGAAAAAAATATATTTTACTCTTTGTCATGTGTACGCAAACAGCGTGTGACGTTACGTCTCTCTTACTCATATCGGAACTTGGAGAATTCAACTAAAGGCACACATAGAACAATAATAGTTTCATAGGTCAAGTCATAGCAACGTCATGACACAAGTGGCGTTTTCGCGGGAAACGTTGAAAAGTAATTTATTGATTACTCAAAAAAAAAAGTATTTAATATTCTTCAAAACCTGACGGACCGCAAAACAAAAATTAGTCACATCGCTATTACATATAAAAACATAGACAATGAAAAAAGAACCTTAGATGCACACAGATCTTCTGACACCACTGATTTAAGTGATAAAAAAAAAGATATCTCACAGATTAATCAACTCGTTGACTAACCTCTCCCGACTTGTCGTACGTTCTCTGTAGACGACTATACCGTCTTTAAGCATGTGAGCGCTAGGTCTGCGCAAGCGACGATCTGTTTCATCGCCATCTGTACCTGCAAAATAAATATATAACACAGATTAGTTGCAAGAAAAATATTATACACCTTACGGTTATTAAAACAAGACTGATTATAGATTTTGATAATATAACGGCCATCATTGGAATTGGTAAGTATTGATCTGCGTAAACGATCCATATAAGTTGGCTGAGACTGTAACTCTTTGTATCAGCTGCACTTTCACGGTCGAGATTATTGTAAAAGAATTTGAAGTTTAACGCCGTTAGTGCACAGATGCATCCGCTTGCGAATGTAAAACATCTGTGAAACGATGCGAATGCGTACGGGGTTGTCATCTTTTGAGAAACAAAATTCGTGATGTTCGGATAGTAGATCAGGAATCGCCGTGGCAACCCTGAATGCAAAACCGTACTGATAGGGACGCAGCTAATTCATCGCGCTTGTAATAGAGCGAGAAAAAGCATATGTGACATTACCATACAACTGAAAAATTTCGCAAATGTTTCGTATTCGCGTCAGTAACGGCATGTAATATATGTAATATATCAATAATGAGACAAAATCGTGGGTGCTACTATACCCACGATTTGAAAAATGTATTATTATAACAATATGAATACATTTTTCTTAAAAAGAAAACTAAGGATAATGCTGTTGAAAGTGCGTTGATATGAGGCTTTTTCATTTTTACCATTCTTGTAGATATTTGACGTGTTAACATTTTTCGGAGTTGGCAGGAACTCGTAAAGCAGGTTGATAAAATTAATATTAGCAAAGGGATAACCCATACAGCTTAACCTTAGTTTATATTTATAGCAGCGTTTGCGTGTGTGACCTTTTTATCAGTATTATTCGTGAAATTGAAGTATTCGTGAAAGCTCATATAGAGCGAAGATTTTGATGTGATTAATATTTATTTAATTATTTTTAAGACTGAGATTTCAAATAATTATATCTCTTCAAACTAGAAGTATATTACATTTCTACTTTGCTGGTATTATTTAATTTAACTCGCAGCATAAGTTAGATTAAATAAGAAACTAGTCGACATCGATAATTTATTAGTTTGTCTTTCTGCCATATCGTAACAAATATTTCCACACAAATGTTTGTGTGAAGATATTTGAGGAGCGCGAGTGTCACAAGCCATTCTTAGAAGAAAAATCTCTTTTAATTCAATTTCAAATTTCAACAGCCAGTTCAATTAATTCACAATTTTTTTTATAAAATGTAGTATTTTTGACGTGGATACGTCTATGTTTTCGTTCTACAGGGGGGTCATTCTGTGAGCAGGAGTATATGCACTAACGCCATCTATTGGCGTATAAGTGAACTATGCTTGCTCTGCAGGGGGAGGGGCATTCTGTCAGCAGGAGTATATGCACTAACGCCATCTGTTGGCGCTAGTGAATACTTTTTTCATTCAACAAATGAACGCAACGAATATTTATTTATTTAGTGTTTAGTGTCTTCAATTTGTTTATTTATTTTTTTATCAATTACTCATATATCCATTCCTACATAGACGTATCCACGCATAAAATATGGCTGTGTCAATGATACAGCCAACCAGGGTTTTTTAACTAAGACAATAATGTAAAGTTGCAATAATGTAAACTTACCTGTGGATCTTCGGATAGCAGTCAATCCCGGTCGAGAAAACAGCGGCCGGTTGTGTCGAGGCGCCATAGCGGGCGCAGATATTCCAGATACTTCTAGAAGACGTCCAATCTGTTGCATTTTTTTCTGCCGCGACTTCGTGCGACCCTAGTTGAGAAATTTAATAAACACCGAATAAATACCTGTGCGAAAGAATTAAAAATTATTTTATTGAATAATAACTAATGTGATGGGAGTATGCAAGGCGTTTTGAACGAAATAATATGTCGCTCAATCATTCTCTTCCCAGCCTCATAAATGAACACGTATGTATTGTAAACGAGTACGTACGTACGAATACGTATACGTGCGTTCGTATGTGCGTAAATGCAATTTCATTGTCAACAGTTTTTTGTTTTACCTTCTTTCCATAATGCATTCTCCCATTTTCTTATATGTATATATAAAAAAAAATACTCATTAAAATGTCAGTTTTACATATTATAGATGATTATGAAAAATGTTTTTGTCTATGCATTGCTTAAATGAATAAACTTTTTCTAATTATTATCACTCTAACCTTTGTAAGTCTTTGTTTGGCAGCCATGCTTCGAATGTGATCGTCAAATTTAAACTTGGCTCGGAGTAATATTGTCCGAGGTAATGCCCCACTCGCACCAACTCGCGGTTTATGTATAGTTAAATGTAAGCATCTGGGGTCTTCTTTATCACCTTGTATCTGAAAACAGAGTGATATTTTGTGTGTAAGGTCCTTTGCCCTCCATCGTATCACACTAAAGCCGAATTAGTGTCGTGCGATGCCCATATCAATGATGAATAAAAATGAAATTTCACGCAACTAATTTCACCTTGAAGTGCCGCGACTCCATTTGCGCATAGTAAAACTTCGATGTTGACGGAGCCAGTGTCTGAGAGATACTATTGATTGTAGGCCATTACGAAAATAGTTTCACATATGCTGAAATGACACAATTACGCATATGCGTGTACCGGTAGGCCAATTTGTACGGGCGATAACCTTCGATCAACAATACAACTAGATTACGCCTCCCATACTAAAATAAAACTCAAATACGGCACCATACACCGCGACAAACAAGGAATATTATACGCAGAGTATATTATGTGATAATTAGTCTTAGCGACACCTGAGCTCCAGAACTGGGTAAGTAGTGAGTCGCGTTGTCAAATTTTTTTTAGGAAAATATAATATGACTTTAAATTGTGTATGTTAAAAAGTTCACAAAGTTTAAAGATTATTTACTGAATATTTCGCTAAATAATAATTATTTATATTTTTAAATACACCAATCAGAGCGAATGACGTCGTTTAAATTTATGGTAAAAATATCTAGGAAAAGCGCGATATTTGTATCATATAGTCTAAAATTATTTTTATTTATTAAAAAATCAGTTAACCTCCAAGTCTTGTAAGCTCCCAACTAACTTAGCTACACCCCACCCTAGTCTCTGTTTATCTGGTTCCACTAATATTATCTGTATGTTGTCAACTGCTAAGAACCGGTGTTGCCATGTACCATCCTTCTGTATTATATCACATGATATGAGATCAGAATCATCTGTAAAAAAGAATTGGTTTAAAAATACAGAAACGGTTTCAAACAATTATTATTTTCATTAAACTACTAATATAAACTTTATTGTAAATTTGTAGTCAATTTCTTTATAGGTTATGCTGTATTTATCTATATGAAAATTTCATGTTAAGATTATTGCTATATTATGAAAATTATCGTCCCTCTTAGTCTGTAATAAGACATATAACTTTTATATACTAATATTATCACTCAAATAATTAAATAACCATTTGCAAAAGCAAATATCTTTAGAGTAATAGTCTATAGTGTTATAGAAGATGTATGATTATACAAATCTATCATTTTTTTAAATTAGGTTTCAATCATTAATCCTTAAAAATATAAGTTAAAAATTGATTGCAAAAAATTGGATATTTTGTGGTAACCTAATGCGCTGCTCCCAAGACAAGTGCTTAAGTTAATTTCTATTTTTAGGTAAGGTTATTATAAACTAAAACATAATTTTCCTGCGACTTGAATTAATATAAAAAAGACAGGACAACTTACTAAGGTCTAAAACTTCTCCAACTTGAACGAACGGCGCTAGATTGGTGAGTGGTAACTGAGTTTCTTGTTTGCCCGTTAACTTTAAATACAAATCGCGTATAAGGAAGAAAGTCCTTATAGCTCTCCGAGCTCTCTCAATCTAAAGTAAAAGATTATTTTTATCTATTATTATTATTAGCCTATTTGTCAGCGACGCAAAAGAATTTCCTTACTTTTTAACGATTTCAAAAACAAGAATATTTTCAATTGTATTTATTACTTCCGAATTCTTTTCTTTTACCATTGTTGGTTCTGATTTCCATAATAAAAGTGCTTTGATTGCAAAATTGATTCTTTTTATAAGCTGGTGTTTGTCATATGGACTCATTTAAATTAAAGCAACAATAGTTTGGAGTGTCACATACACTTAGAAAATTTTTCTAATCTCAGTTCTTACATTCTATGCATAAAATCTATAAATAAGTGAATTACGAAAATTATTTTTAAACACAGTAACTTATTCTTCAACGAAAATGAGATCAGTAGATATTTGAAATAAAACTTTTTAAGTTGGATATTTTTAGATATTAATTTTCTACATAGCAGAGAGTACATTTGTCACGGGTACATTAAGCGGCATGTTAAATAATTATACCTCTCCACTGGGCAATCGTTTCGCAAACGCTATACCAGACATCGGCGTACGAGTCGGCGGCAACAATATGGCCGCGTCCATACATAACCATTCCACGTTCAATGGACGCTTGCTCATCTCGCAATACCTACAAATGAGTACCATTATTAAAACATATATAAGATATGAAACATGCGACTTTGGAAAGTCTTGCTGTCTTGTTATAAAAACGATAACTAACTTCAGTTCGGGATATAAACCATCATGCGAATAAATGATGTCTCAGTTTCAGTTTGACGTTTTTCCTTCAGTCATTATCAATTTACTTAAAGCAGCTAATTGCTTAAACCAAGTTTAGGCTGCGATTAATATAAGATGGTTAGAGTTTCAGATTTAAATGTAGCCCACCCCAATACAGACAATACAAGACTGTCAAATTTAATGTACCTATTTTAAGTTTTAATTTGTTGATATTAAGTTCAAATTCAATTATAGTAGTAAGACGTTTTAGCACGACCTAATGACCTACTTGTTTTACATCTCTAATAAAATTTTCCACTGATTATAAAACCTAATTAGTGACATGTTGTTGGCAAAAAAATATAGGATATCTATCATAGCATAAAAAAATGACAAAATTAATCCCCATTCATCTTTTACGGATTGTGCTGATGATGGCAAGCAAAAGGAGCCGTGCAATACAAAAACTAATTTTAAAAAAATTCATCACATACTACAAAAAATTAAAAAAAATATTTATTTATTTCTAGAAATTCATTTAACGAGGCTACTTACTCATCCTCAAACATATCCAAGAATATGTCATCGCATTTATAAAAGTTCCTAGCGAGTGCAGCCGCTCGGCTTCTCAACGCTTCAGCGGAGGTAATATGACGTGCGCCTGCGACGCCACTCGCGCCTTGCATAGCGATACGGACTAGAGTAACACTCAGCTCTAACGTTACCAGGCGAACTTTTGACGCTGCAAACGATATGATAATAAAAAATAAATATCTTTGATTCTTTTCGTCACGTATGTTATTATTATTTTATATTTGTTATCGTCACGTGATCGCATACAGTGGGTGACGCCCCTTTTACTCATATCAGAACTTGATAATTGAACCTTATGCATAATAGAACGATATTAGTCTCAGAGGGTCGTGACGTAATAACGACGCCATGACAGAAGTTGACATTTTCGCGCGAAATTAAAAAAGCTAAATTTATTTTTAGATTTTAACTTATTGAACGAATGATGCTTTCAAAAATATTTTCGATATATTTATGTATATATACACAAATATACCGTGTTTTAATTGAGTTCCAGATATTTGCGTATTATCGGCATTGTTGCAAGTGCCGTGATCACACAACAGCGCTGAAATATCGGGAACTCAATAAAAATAAGGTACATGATAGCAATATCGATAAAATGAATGCGATAAATTTTAGTAATGATAAAAGTTAGGTGATTATATTTTATATTTGTGTTAAAAGTCATTATTTATAATCTCACCTGGCTTACAACTCAAATTCGCAATTGCCATTAGTTTGGCAATCAAAAATGCATTGAAGCTCTGCATTTTTTGATTTGAATGCGATGGTGTGGGTGTGTTTTGGTCATTTCTTTCAGAACGAACCTCAGTCTGACTACTGCTGGATTTACTCGAGTCAAGCATTTGGTCTTCTGTCTCTGGACATAGCAGAGTATCCAGCAACTCCGTGTTTACACCTGCAACAAGACCACATTATTATACAAGCGATAATAACACAAATAGTCCCATGAGATGAAAAATATCTTACCCACTAACAGCCAAAGCAAGCAGAATAGGAACAAAAATAGAATAATTAGTATCCATTAATAAAAAATGTTAATAGCAATCTATCACTAAACTAATGGATTTTATTTAACTTTTATGAATTTTGCAGAAAACGGAATTGTTCTAGTATAATTTGTCTCATAATTTTGCTGTAATTATCACGATTAAGTGGATGAACATTTTCTTACCTTTGTTATTTATTAGCGCAAATAATAAACATAAAGCGAACAGAGCTTTATAATCGTTTTCGTTACAATCCAATGAATCTAAAATAGTCTTTAAGAATGGCCTCTTTGCGATCTCCCGATTCTCCCTCTCTAATATTTTCTCTATAGGCACTGCTCTTTCTAATACAACAGTGGAAGTCACGCCTAGAAGTTTCTGCTTCTCTTCATCTGTTATATTGTTGAACTCCGATGTGGTTTTGGACGAACATGAGTCAATGCCAGAATCAGGTAACGGAGAATCGGGCATATTAGCTTTTACTGTGACATCCGATTTGATCGAGTGAATCTGTGTTACTAAATCTTCAGTGGAGTCATTCGCAATGCTTGATGATTCACTTATGTGCGATGTGGACGGCAAAGAAGTCGACACCAATTCAGGATCAAGATCGCAGCTAGACTGATCAGTGTCTTTATCGTCATATCCAAATCTCTTTGGATCACCGTACTCTGGAGTCGTGTAATCCCTCTCATGCCCTGAACTACTTTCTAAAGCCTTCTCTAAGCTCAATTGAGGTTTTGAGAATTCTAGTTTCACGTTAGACTTTGCGTTGCTTATATACATTTCAAGTATCTTCGTGGCACCATCTTCGAACACTGACGAATCTGATTGCAATATGATCCATGCTAACGCATGGACAATTGGACCGTGAGTTATTATAAGAAATACTTGGGACAACAAAAACAAGGCGACTACGCATGACACCGATGGTTTAGATTCATCGTCTATATCCATCCTTTGCCTAGGGAAAGTCATCCTTGTCGGCGAGTGGTCAGAATTTTTCCCTTTCAAAATGGCTTCTAAATTTTTCGCAATTGCTTCAATGCTTTGTATGTGGTCTCTGTTGTAAGGTGATGATGTCTGTAATCGTCTCGTTGATTCTGATGTCAATGAATAAATATAAAGGGGGACAAGTAGTTTATGCAAAAGATGCTCCGTCAATACGTCGTTTAAATCTGGTATGTTTAGACAAAGGATGTCATTGATGTAATGTAAATGATCTAGGTGTTCTGCTACTAAATCATCTAGTTTTTGTTGAGACTGATGGCTGCAAGTTAAAAATTTGGATAAGAGACTTTAAGGATTACATAACACGATTTCATACAAAATTCATACAAACACTCACTCAGCGTCGTTCCTGACACACGCGTCCAATTCTAATATGTGTTTGCCGATGAACCAAACTAAATTGCTGAAGTATGGTGCGGCAGTCCTATAACGAAAAGATGTACTTATATGTAACTGCCTTATTACAATGACGATTTTAGTTAAAAGAAATAAAATTCATAGTTATATAGTGTAAGCTTAAATCATAATCTAAGGATTCCAAATATTATACATGAAAGTCCCTCTCCCAAACAACGTTTATTGATAATTCGATATTGGCTACTTGAATATTTTAGGAAAAGTATTTTAATTCACATGATCATATTAAACTGGTTTCACTAGCGACTAAGACGTTATAGTATAATTAATTGTAATGTGACGTCACACGATTCGCCATCGTAACCACCCACGTTTCGGTTATTGTAATCCAAAGATTATAAATAGTAAGTTTATTTTGTTAAAATAATATATAATATTGTTCACATATAAGTTACCATTTCTAACATATTTCATAATTTATTGTTATAACTGTCAATTAGCCAATAGGGATGAGGACGAAAAAGTATAAAGGTGATGACGTCATGCTATATTTTCAGCTCAACGTATCACAGTAATTTATTGATTACGTAAAAATATACGTGTTTAATATTCTTTATTAATGTACCCGACAGACAGATAAACATCCCTATTGTGTGATAAGATTTTTTTCGAGTAGGATTTATAGTGCATATAAAGTCAGGATGGATTGTCAGTAAATAACAGTTTAATAATCACCCTTGAACTTAAAGAGGTGTGAAAACAAAGAGTTACATCCATAAGTTCATTGCACATTAATTTATTGTTTGTTGAAAACAATAAAGTCGATTGATTGAGTACAATAATACTAATACTCAGCGAATAAACATATGATTCAATTGACAACACCTACTTTGTATAATATAGCAACTGATATTTGCACAGTTGATTGGGCAGGTGACGTCATATGGTCTGATTTTATTGCTGACCTATTTTATTTACGCAAACATGAGCATACAAAGATCAACAGTTACTTTAATGAAATTAGACTATTTGTTTTCTTTTTTATGACTTAAGAGTATCAATCAACCACGGAAAATCTTGTTTTAACAACAAATATTTTCTTTTAAGTATAGCAATTGACTTATAAAATAAGATAGGGTGGTTATAAATAACATATTTTCTTGCACAAAAATAATAATTCAGTTTAAAACAAAATTAATATTGTTGTAATATAAACAGACAGTTGTAAGAACTGACACAGAATATAGTCAACTGATTATTAGTGTCAGTAGGTTAATTTGCTGATAACAAAAAATATATTCTACCTGTCTCTGATGAATCTCAACATGCTTGCATCTTGTACTCTGTAAACGTTCAATGTAAGAGTTCGAACTGCAATACGAACCATGGACTCACTATGGTTGAAGAATTTTATCGCTTCTGTGTACAGAGGGAAATCTTTGGTGTGCTGCAAATAAAATTTCTGTATTTATGCCATCCCATTTTATTGATTAGTTTACCACCTTTGTCAGTCATAAAACAGGTTAGTTTATTTGGTGACATATATTATTCACAAATTTTATAACCACCAATGCAAAATGGCTCACACTTCAGTTTCAAGGTTACTCTGGAGATCCTGGGTTTGATTTGTGATAAGTTATTTCATTATTGTCATCCATCATTGTAAGCTGCCTGTGTCCCTACTGCTGCACCGCAGGGACTCTTTAATGATAAAATGGAATAGGTAAAACTGGCCCACTGCGCATTTAGGTGATAGCAACTACATATATAGCTACGGCTAGCGTTGCCAGGCGTCTGATTAAAGCAGAATATAGGTAGGCTTTGTGTCCAACCAAAATAAACGGTGTCTGGCCTTTGTTTAGACTATTTATATTAGAGAAATGAGCCAGCGCCGAGCGTGGCCGAGCACAGGCGAATCGACAGATTTTTGATAATAATCAAAAAAGCTTGATTTCACTTACAATTTTTTGTCATACCTATTAATACTAAGACACAAAAACCTCAGTAGCTGGCTGTTTGGCTTTTTTATCCAAATGTGTCTATTATGTCTGGCCAAACTGGCTGTTATGTCTGGCCAAACTGACTGTACTGTCCGACTATTAGATTTGGCAACCCTAGCTGGGGCTTACAGCTTAATGTGCTTTCCAAAGCATAGATGAGCTCAAGACAAGAAAGTTTTGGTCACCATCATTGGACTGAATCGACCTGTGCAAAATTTGCATATGTTCCGCATCGCAGAGCATGTGAAACAGAACACACACACACAGCTACTCATAGTATCTGTACTTTTATATTGTGTAAGACCTGTAATATATTATAGCTTCAATAACAGAAATATACCTCATTATAAAAGAAGTGTATTGTATGGTTATTCAACTTCAAGCTCAGCGTTTTCAAGAAGGAAATGTAATAGGCCATCACTTCTTCATCAGAAAAATCAAACTTGTGTACTATTATTGAGTTAACATGATTATTACTCAGTAAATAATCTGGAAATAAAAAAATATATACTATTTTAATGTATTAAAGCTAAAAATGGAAGATAAAACAAGACAAAAATCAACTAGCCATCAATAAGAATAGAGTATTTTAATTGGTTATACAATAAAAGTAAGCTAACAACTGATAAGTCACCATTGAGAAAGCAAAACTTATGTCTGTTTGACACTTGATTGTTATAAACTTTATAAATTACAGATGACTTTGAATCGGGTGGATTCATTTATTCCTGAGCCCAATATCAAATGACAACATAATAAATGCATTCATTTTCCAATTAATGATATTAGTATGGATTAGAATATTACAAATAAGAAGTACTTACACAATGACGTTTCATTTCTGATGTTTTCAAAGAGGATGTTCAATGTTTGAAGGAGTTGCACACAGACATAAGATGATCCACCACATTTCTGCCTCATAATTTTCAAGAAGTATGACAGCATATTTTTCTCCAAAAAGAAACTATAACAAACCATATGATAAAACACATAAATCATTCTTATTGACATATCTAATAGTAGAATGAGGGTGCAGTGTCAAAACCTATTGTATGGTTTAATTGCTATAATTAAAAAAGTATAATACTAGGACAATAAACATTTTTGTAGTTTAAGCCTTAGTTACCAATATTCCAATAAATACTGGTTACTAATTTTAATTTTATGTCAATTTCTATACATAAATTATTGACATATGTATTTATGGTTTTCTTTATTATTAATAAAGTTTTCTTATTTATATTTAATTTGACTGGTGGGATTACCCTTTTCCAATATAATTAGGAGTGACAAGTTTTTCATAATTTCACAGAATCAAATGTTATAATAAAGTAATAATTAATAAATAATGTTGGAATAACCAGAAAAATAGATATTTTTATTCTTCATAGAAGTTTAGTCTTTATTCAGTTACAAAACTTTATATGGTACATATAAAGCACCCAATTTAGGGCAGTATAATTTATTAAAAATAATTTAATTAGGTACATATAATATTAACTTATCTTTACTTAGATTATTAATTAACAAGTAGTACTTACTCGAAAACTGAACTGTCGTTTTGGTCTCCCCATATCAAGATTTCTGCAATACACCTCAATGATTCAACCAAGGTACCACGATTGCTTTCAGATACAGTTGTATTCTTACAAAGTATATTATGTAAATATTTCAATCTCTCGAGAGAATGGGGGTTTTTTGGTCGTCCCCACGCTCCACCAAACCAACTCCGACTACGAAACATAATTGCAGAATGTGCTCTTCTGAATTATTATAATATATTAATCAAAACAAAGCATTTTCATAATAGTGGTACAAATGATGCACATCGTCACTTCACCAGTTAACAAATAATGATCATAACCTTAAATGAGTTCATTCTTATATATCACAATATTTAGAATATTTATATATATAATGTTAAAACCAACAAATAATACAGATTTTTTCGTATTTTTGTGTGTTTAATAATTACGCCACTTGGATTGAAAACACGGATTTTGACACAAGGACACTGACATTGACATGACAATGACAACAAGCCCATTAGAAAACGTTGCGTTTAGTTATTGCTAAATCAGATATAATCAAAGTCCGTGCTAATCTTGTGGTAAATTATTAAACGAGCATATACTTGCTGATGACAGATGGTATTAAATATGTTTGATAAAACTGAATGTTGTGTTTGTATAATTTTGTATAGATGTCCTACAAAAAAAATCATTCTTATCTTGGTGATATAATGTATTGCTATTATAATTATATAGGACTTTTACATTCATTATTTTCTACTAACTTTTTATGAAGAATTAAATTTTAACTCATTGTTTTTAACAAACACTTAAACACAAAAGTCGATTTGTATCTTCGTCCCCATTTTCGATAGCTATACCTAACTCATTTTTATTTTGTGTTGTCATTTTTCTTCTCTCGGAATGAAATCAAATGACTTGGATTTATCATAGTTAAAGAAAACTTCTTTTTAAAATTCAAATATTATTATCCAATCAAGTTGACAGTCGTATTGCAGCGAAAATCTTCAGATTGAGCCATGTTACAGCTGACGATACTTTTAATTCAGCGCCATCTTTCATTCATTTCGATTTCATTTTACATGTATTCACTTGACATTCGCAGAATTCTGTTAATTGCGAAGATAAGCCATTTTAATAAAGGAAGAAGTCACATCGAACCGAGCTATAAAGAAACTGAGATGAAAGATTTATTTGACTATAACGTTTTGCTTTATATCACGATATCAAAGAATAACTAGCAACCCTATATTTTTGTAATATTTACATTGGTATCAGAGAGCAATACAGCATCAATAATAATATACTTTATTGCATTCAATAACGCAGAGCTTACAGGAAAATTAATATAATAAAAAACTAATAAAGGGAACCTATATTGCGCCCGCAAAGCTGGTAGACGTGCAATAGGCAGTTCTGCATTTTCGATACTTACGCTAAACGTGAAGGGTTCACAGCTCCTTTATTGTATTAAGGTGTTATATTTAAACCAGTAAAAGTTTTTCTTTTTATTTAAGTATCTTTTAAAATTATCATTACATCCTAAAACAATTAATTTCTGTGTTCAGTGTATAGACAACTGTTATAATGTACTTATGTATCAATGTATACTTTCATATAAGTATATGTATCATAGAAATTACTAATCTAGTTATCAAAGACTTCCAAATATGATGAAAATTATATAACGGACAATTAACTAATTAGAGCGTCTAAGTACAGAACTCACGTTAACCAAAACCTAGAATCAAAATAATGTCACCACAATAGAGAGCTAGATGTCACTCTTGCACGACTACGTTCACATTGTCTCACGAGACAAACATGTCTCTTCTCCACTGTGAGGCTGCCTCGCGAGGCATGCCTTTAGAATTTGTAGTACTTATGTATCTGTACGCGTAGGCATTAAGCTTTCATGGCAGAGGTTTTATGTATATTTTTAAACGATAACCGCCCAACTTCAATAGCAGTTTCTTAAATAATTTAGTCGCTATTAAGATTAATATTATTTCTTACTTTTTAAAGCTTGAAATCTGTAAGCTCTTACAGAGCTACCAGCCGTTATAGCAGTTTCCAAGAGAACTATGTAGATACAATATGTTTGCGTAGCACCTAAAAGTGTATATTTTTAAGCTTATATTTTAGCGCTTATGTTTTCCAATAAATCGCCGTAATAAAATCTCACGTTATTATAACTTTGTTACACAGTTGGGCAGTCGAATCCAGGTATTTTTGAAATATCTAGGAAAATTCGGGAGGAGCTCTATGGCTATGTGGCTAGTGCGTTCGATCTATGATTTTATTATCTTGTCCTCAATGCTTAAGAAGATATGTTAATTTGGATCAGGTTGTAATTGCAGTCTGGCTGCGTCACTTTGTGAGTATGACTAGGCCAACACCTGATAAAAAAATTATTTTAGTGATGGATAATCACGAATCGCATAAGTATCTTGAAGTCCTAGAGTATGCTTCAAAGCATAATGTGATTTTTGTGTCTCTACCACCACACACGACACATCGCCTACAACCACTTGATACATGTGTATACGGTCCATTCAAAAATAATTTTGAGCAGGCTATTTCATTGTTTCAACGAACACATGTCGGGCGCATCATATCACAGTATGATGTGGCAAAATTGTTTGGCGAGGCCTACATTAAAGCGGCTAGTGCACATAATGCAATAAAAGGATTTACTTCTACTGGTATAATGGCCAACCAATCGACACATATTTAACGACGGTGATTACATGCCAGCCAGTATGACTGATAGGCCAGAGCCATTAACTAAAAATGAGACTGAGTCACTTGCTAATGTTCCAGAGATATCTGTTGCTGGTAACGAACATCATGTTGAAACATCTTTCCCCTGTGATGCAAATATTCGATCATCTTTCGATTCTGACCGCACTGTGTCACTGTCTATTTTGAATCAAAATGTGGACAATAATTTGCCTATGGAAGAAAACGAACCCGAACCGCAACCTTTTAATGAACCTATAAGTTCGCGCAATACTCCAACTCCAGTTGTTTAATCTTTTGATGAACCTTTAACAGCATGTAAGACTTTAGCAGAAGATACGGGCCTGCAACCTGAAAAACAGCATATGACCCCACTGAACATCAGGCCACTACCTCAAATGATCCCACAAAAAAACTACTCGAAGACGTAAGCCACAGAAAGCTGAAATACTTATAAGCACACCGATAAAGGATCAATAACGAGAAAAAGAGAATAAGAAAATAGTTTCAAAAACTAAAATTGACGTCATAAAGAAAATTTTTAAGAAAAAACCCAAACGTGGTCGAAAAGGTAAAAATGAGGAAACTGAATATTCATGCTTGGTTTGTTCTGAGTTATATGTACACCTACCTATCGAAGACTGGATCAGATGTGATGACTGCCAAATGTGGACTCACGAAGCGTGCACTGGATATTCTGGTAGAGGCTCTTATTACTGTGATGCTTGTCAAGAATAACTTTAGTTTGTTTATTAATGATAGAAATGTAATTTTAAATGCAGGATTTAAATAAGTAAAAAAATAATGTGATTGTTATGGAGATTGATTAAGGATAAAAAAAGTCATTATGTTATAATTAAAGGTTAAGATGATAAAAATAATAGTTTAGTTGATTTATTTCGTAGATTTATTCATTACCCGTTTTGCCCAAAGACGGTACCCGTTTTAGGCCCCCCCTACGGGCAAAGCGGGTAGTTCGAAGGTTTTTTTTTCTTTATTTTTCTTTGAGTACATAAGAAGAGTACTATGATTGTGTTTTGTTTTCAAAAGTTTAATAAATAAACATTCCTATGAGTACAAATATAAGTTGCAGTTACTTTTCTTGATTGTTTTATTGAACATCTCCCTTAGCTTACCCGTTTTGGGCTCAGTTATCCCTATTTAATTCCATTCATAGGGAAGGTGTACGCAATGTACAACAACTGAATGGACATGTGCACCAGACTTTATGTTATTTACAAGGTTAAAGTAAGCTTAAATTAAAATAAAAATAGACCAAATCGAAAATAAGTATATTTATTATTTTGAAGAAATTAATTTAGACATTTCTAATTAAAAAGTACCTACTTATTATCTAAATCTATAAATAAATTGCACTCTATCTATACAATCGACGTAACTGTTACGGTCAATGACACGTTAGTTTTTGCAATGTAACGTACTAAAAATTTCAGTAGGCCACTTCTGTTAATGTTAAAGTAATAATTGCGGCTCAGTGAAACCTTATATATTAGGGTCCTTACATATGAAATTGGTGTTTTGTCGTACTGGCCACTTTAATCACAAATTTCTCCTCCTTGCTTGGGAATTCCAAATTCAAATTTATACAGCCATTTACACATATATGTATTTGTGTTTCGTTAGGCGGCATTCATTCGTTTTTTTTTCTGTTTGTCCTATTTACGTCACCCACTATAAAAAATGGAAAAGTTTAAATATCGTGTTATTTACGAGTACGAGTTCCACCGTGGTACCAGTGCTGTCCTAGGTACGAAAGAATTTTTTAAATCGGTATATATCTGTACCGATTTTAAAAATTCTTTCGTATTGACGAGGCTATATCATATGCGGTTGACAATTTAAACGGATGAAGTTGCGAAATTACAGTAGTATTTCTAGAATTAAATACATAATAAAATATGTCAATTAAATTCGTAGAACCAAGTTTTGTATTATTCTAATAATTTTGGACATTTCTTATTATCAAATTGATATATTTTGCAATTAAGCGTGTTACCAAGAAATGATAATAAGATAATGGTATGCAAGTTTTTTAGTCTATAAACTAGCTTTTTGTGTCATTAGAGAACCGCATTAGATCTCACCATTGATTTGCGAGGAAGACATAGCACTAGTACCTAATATTGGACTTCAGGTAGATAGTACAATTGCAAAATGGAATAGGAATATTTACGTAAACATTACCTGAATTGACTTACAGACCGATTTGTGATTGAACAGTAACAAAATTATTATGTTTCATATACATAGATGTAACTAAAAATATAATTAAACTATTTGTTTAGAGTTTATGATGTGTGTGGGATATTTTAAAAATATGAAGGAAAGTAATCGAATATGCAACATGTGCAACTCTGACAAAAGATACGTCGAGCATATCAACGGAAGTATTGTTTAGTACGCTCCACGTACTGACGGATCATCCATCCAGTTTGCAAGGTTAAATTTCACTGTGTGAATTGAAAATTCACTGAGTCCACATGCACGCAATAGACGCACGGTACGCAACAGATTTTCCGTAGTTTTGTATGAATTTGTAGAGCTCTCCGTCCACTATCCATACCAGCTACACAGCCACCGTAAGAATTATATGAGCAAAGAGACGACGTCATACGAAATACTTCCATGGAGCTACTAAGCAGCGGCTCAATTACTTTGTAGCGTTAAGTCAAAACTGTCAAAACGTACTTATATTAAAAATTCGAATGATTGACGTATGATATTGGCAAATCTGAACAATCAGGGGACCAATTCTACTAAATAAATTTTGTTTAAATCGAATCGAAAACGGATCGAAACCGAACGAAACTACAGTTTTTAATGGTTATCCTATTCTACAAAGTCACATACGATACAATTCCAGTTCTATTTTAGCTGGAATTGTTTCGTATTTTAGCTGGAATCCAGTTCTATTTTAGCTTTTAAACAAAATTTATTTAGTAAAGTTGGCCCCCTGTTATGTACGTGCGGACACAGTGGACGTTCACTTTTACCCTATCATTTTCATAATTGTTCGAATGTTTATGACTTCATCGACATTTATTACTATCTATAAAATGTTCATTAGTTTCGCTTCCTGTTAAATGCGGTGGAATTAAGCAATATTTATTAATTATTATATTTGATCAGTTTTACAATCACAATGCTATTTATATTGTATATATTGCTTTCACACTGATAAATAACTATAATGGAAAATCTTGGGTTGGTGGATTTTTAAACTTTTTTATTTAAAATATGTAAAAACGAGTATCTCTAGATACAGAAAGCTTCTTTTTCATAGGTTCAAACGTCTTTATATTGTTTCAGACCTACTACTAATTAGGCATTCATCGTAATATATTATGAAAATAAAAATGAAAATTTTAAAAATAAAACACTCAATTGTATAGTAAAATCATTTCTACTTAACATACAAACACTCACACATAAACACAAACTTTTAGTTTGAACGGCATTGTACAATTTTATCAAACTTTCAGTATGGACGGCATTTTACAATTTTATTACAGTACGTAAACTTAAAAAAGTGGGTATTAGTAAACCCTTTAATGTAGGTATTTTTGAAAGTTTATGAAAAGTAAATTTCAACACTTTTTTAATATTATTTAATATTACAATTTATAATTATTTATCTACTCACAGTGTATCTAGCTCAAAACATGCGGTAATCTATGCTTACGCTTTAAGTATGAATACATAGTAAAATTGAGCAAATACACAAGATATACTTATACCTAACTAGGTATTATATACATTATGATAATCACAATTAAGTATTCCATACTAACTTACACATTTTTTTTTATTTCACTTTAGTCATAATTTCTTTCTTTTTATTGTCTTATTTTTTAAATATTTATTTGTACCTATGTGAACCTTAACTTCTAAAACACCAATTTAAATAAAATACAATAAATTAAGGTAAATAATTAATATAAAATGAATAAATTACTTAAGTATAACATTGACTGAAATGTTCCATTAAAATGTTCATGAAAATTAATATGTTTTTTTAATGTTATTTAAAATTATATCTACTTTAAGTACGTATGACATAAGGTATAATTTAAGATAATCACAATATAAGCTAAAACGAATATTAACTATTGCAACGGTTCCTATAAATATGCCTAGCGGGAGATACTAAATTGAGCCTTAACCTAAACAATATTGACAAAAATATAAGTATGGATTTAAAATAACAATGCTTAGACAAATTGACCTATCCATGGAATAAGGTTATATATATTTGATTTCATTTTCTAATCAGTGTTTTTTTTTTATCCAGAGACTGGGTTGACCTTTGGCCACTCTCTGGCCTGATAGTAAATAAGATGTGGCCTACAATGGCATATGCTTAACTTAGCCAGGAAGTGCCTATTTACTCTGGCTATGAAGAGTTCTAGGCTGTATAGCCTACTGGGGAATACAAAACCAGGCAGTGGATACCATTCTTAGACTTACGGTTTTGCTAACGTGTATACACGTAGCTATTGTAATCAAATATAAAGAATAATATAGTTCCAAAACTAGCGATTCATTCTTTAGAATAAATTAATAGTGAAATAACAGAGAAATTTTCGTAATTCAAATGTCAAATGTCAAAGTCACTCTCAAAAGAGCAGATTACTCAAATGTGACATTATTCTTTGGATAGGTCGCTGTATGTTGCTTTCTTGATATCAACATAAAATAGGTAATAATTTAGGTTGGTGTAGTTCACATACCACGGATATTGTATATCACTTTAATAGGTATCTACCGTACGAGTTTGTCTAGAAATAATAAGAAATGAAAGGCTAAAATTTCGTTACCTATACACGTAATTATTTCAGTAGAATCCAATTAATTTAAATAACACACTATAATCTTACTGATCGTTAAGGTACAGATTAAATAGAAACATTCAACACTTCCGATTGATTTCGCTTAATTAACATTCCATGCTTTTAATTTTACTTTCAGTTAAATAATTAACTTCCAATCGTTAAACATACGTGTTAGTTGTTAGAGCACGTACTGATCTTTGACGTTTGTTCTATTCTTAAATAAATCAGCTCGATACGAGCCAGACGAGTTACAGCACTGTTTTAAGTTTAAGGGTAGAAATTCTGAAGAGCATCTGAGTATATGGAGTTGTATGTGTCTCTTAGAACGTACACACTATCCCCTGGTTTACCATTAAAAACGTATTGACCTTTCAAGTTTGTGATCTTAGAGTTCGAGGGAACTGGCTTAGGTTTAGGTTTAGAGTAAGTAGGCATGTTGTAGCTTGGTCGCGAAGGGGGAGGAATCATGGGTTGTGCTCCATAACCGAATGGATCCACGGGCGGTATTTGTGGCATTTGAGGGTAGCCGGCTCCTCCGTTCCATTGATATACACCAGTAGGTTTTCCGTTAGAGACGAAATCTAAAGGCAAATTGATGAAAGGATCTGCACTTTGAGGAGGGCCCACGGGAGGCATCATTGGAGCCATAGGTGGTCCTAGACTTGGCGGCTGAGACACATACCCTAGACCAGGTACGAACATGTAAGGCGTAGGTGGAAGTCTTATGTAAAAGATGGGTGAATTATCGTACTGTAAGGAATTGATGTTGTCGTTGGGGTATTCAGGATTTCCATTTTTCTTTTTGTTTTGCTGTTTACGTCTGTTCGGAATGGTTCGTGACAGTTCCTCGTCATCGAAATGGTCGTCGTTGACGGAAAATGTGACGTCATCGTCGTCATCTTCATTGTAGTCTAGACCTGATGAAAGAAATGAAGGATAATATCCGAATAAATTGAGGGCCTTGTTCTTTCTATTAGTTGGTGCTGGTGCTGTGGCAGTAGTGACTTCTTTATACTCCTCTTGTAGTTTACTTTGTCGACCATTGGATTCATCAGGAAGGTCTGCAGCTCTTGATCTCCTTGAGTTTGGAGCGCTGTGAGTCTCCGTGGCAAGATATACAACGAACAGGAAACAGAGCAGCCTGCTTGAATACTCCATGATTTAGTCGATATCTGGAAAGATAAGAAAACTTTTATTTTAATTTTATCGTGATGGGTTTTCGGTCATTCTTTATATTTATACTATTATGTAGATTATTCCCAAATTGAAAAAACTTATATGTTTAATATATATATATAAGGCTTGCGTGCTCGTTCTGCGATATGTTGTTAAGCAGTTTTCGCAATAGCTGGTTATAGGATCGATGACCTAAAACTTATAATCTTGAGCTCCTCTTTACGTCGGAAGGCAGATTAAGTGATCAATCCGCATTGGGCCGGGTTGTGGGTCGTGGTCCATGCTCCTAATCGATTTGATTCGATTCCATCTATAGGGAAGGTCTGAAGTCCAGCAGAGGGAACATTAATAGAATGGCGTTGTGATATACGTATAGTTAAGTTGAGCATAACTGATTAATATCAGTAGAAATTTAAGTAGGCAAATAACAAAATGTACGAAAATAGTAAACAAATTGATTACAGAGTAGGTTTGTGAGTTCGTCGTGACATTAACGTTAAAATCATAATTTAAAAAGAGCACATAAATTTAACTTGATCGTTTTAAAATAGCCAGCCTGCATTATAAATTATTATAGTTTAGTAATTATCTTACAAGTAATGTATGTGAGTAGCTTGGTGGTGTAGTGGATAAGTACAGCGGCCCGCCATCTTTGTTGTTAAACAACTTGCGCAAGGATCGGGTACGGGATGGAAGATCAAAAATTATTATCTCGAACTACTCCGTGCATCGAAAGGCACGTTAAGCTGTTGGTCCCGACTGTATTTGCAGTCGTGATTACCTTCCAACCCGCATTGGGCCAGCGTGGAGGGTCCTTAACCATCCTTAAGGAAGACCTGAGCCCGTGCAGTGGATACGTAAAAGGGCTGATAAATGTATCTACATTTGAGAGAGGTCTCATTTGTTACTCTGTCACCTGGCAGTGTTTTTCCATGTTGCTTGATTAAATATTTTGAAAATATAATCATTTGTAATTTAAGAATGAGGTTGCGACATGCATGAAATGTCTTGGGTTGACAGCTCTGTGTGACTGTATAAATAGATACAGATAGGCACGGAAGTCTATGTTTAAAAGAGAGTGTGCAAACCGAAGACCGTAAGGTTGGGTAATTGTAATGAAGAAGTAACTAAGGAAAGTAACTGTACTCCTTACTAAATTACTTGAAGACACTGAGTTAAATCGTAATAAGTTAGATAGTGATAAATTACTACCTTATAGGCTAGTTGTTACTGAAAAATTTAATTATACGGCTAAAACTGGTTATGTGAGTAAAACCTCAAAAAGAAGTACTTGTAGAAGAATCAAATTAACCTTTACAGGAGTCTTAATAACAGCTTCTCGAATATAAAAAAAATATACCTATTAGGACCAAATTAAATGAAGATCGTTCCAACTCCGTAAGCAAGTGTCATCTCGTGCTATTAATCGGAATGCTTAATCTTGAATTATCACAATTATAATAAGAGTGTAATGGTTTATAAGTGGTCCAACCAATTATCGGGGATCGCATTTCAAGAAATTACCTGCATTCGGCATTCATTTTTAATTATCCAACACAGTAATTATGATAGAAGTAGTAATTTGAACGCGATATACCAAAAATAGCAGAAATTCTAGAGAAGTTGTTAAATTTATCAGTTGTAAATATCCCAAGGTCTGAAAATATATTTCTGTAACCTTATTACATAAATAATAGGTCGGGGGGAAATTTTCTTCGCATTTTATATGTAAATTCAAAACAGTTTATTTAAATTTAACTCAAGATGTAGGTATCGTTTTGTTCGATAAATTTTTGCCATCTTGTAGGTAGGGACATGATCCCATTGCTATATAAACTTTGTGATTTCTGATCAAAATCCACGATAAATGGTTTTGGCAGTAGTCGCGTGATGTTAACCTGACACTGCCTAAAGAATTCTAAAAAGACCAAACAGGTGAAAATCTGAAGGTGCAAGGTCAGAATTATACGGTGGATGCATTAACACCTCCCGGCCTTACTCTCTTAATTTTGCTGAGTGGTAAAAGATGTGTGAGGTCTGGTATTATCATGATGAAAAACTACCCTACTATAGATTAATTCTGGTCGCTTTCTTTAAAATCGTTGCTTTAACTTATCAGTTTTTCGCAGTAGAGTTCAGAATCGATGGTCCTGTCTGGCGGTAACAGCTCATAATGAATAAAAATCAAAATTATTTATTCAGTCTAGGCTGTTAAAAGCACTTGTGAAGGTCGAGAGCTACGCAGTCGGTACTACGTTCGTAAAGCTTGTAATAAGGTGTTTGTGTATTCATTATTAATAAAGCTTGTAATAAAGTGTTTGTGTATTGTGTTAGCAAATCACAACACTTAATAATGAAACCATAAAGTAGTTAATTAGAATATAAATTAACTTAAACGTCTGTTGTTATTCCCACGCCATTTTAATTAATCATAACTCTGTTACATGACTCCAAATAGAATAAAGGCTCTGTTATGGCTAACAGTTTATTATTTATAAAACTTTTACCTTGAAATTTACAAGCAGAAAATGTTTGGTAGTTGAATCGCTTTTATTTGATGTGTAGAGTAAAATCAACAGCTATAGAGGAGACAGAGGTTTAATGAAAAATATAAGTTTTTATATTTAATATGCACGTCAAAAAATTACTGATATTTGTTTAAAAGCTATAATACAAGTAGCACCTTATTATAAATGAAAAATTTTGTTAATATATAGTGTGCATATAGGTAACGATTCAATAATTCTTAGAAATAGAAACCATTTGTAATAAATAAATAAATTCCTATTAGAAAACATCCCATACATTGCTCATATTTCAAGATGAGTAGCTAAAGTCCTCCTCTTATGGAGTATCTAAGACAACGAAGGTACCAGAACCCAGTCAGTGTGTACCCCCTCACTATGGGGGTAAGAGCAAAAGGTTCCACACTTAATCCCCGAAGATACCACAAAACCCACACCTGAGACAGTAACTGCCATCTGCATAAAAACTGTTCACTAAACGACGAACGGTCAGTTGCACAAACGTCCATTAAGGTTTAATAACGCCTTTAAGTTCTAATCTCGCTTTCAGCTAATGAACATTTTAATGCACGTTTGTGCAACAAGCTGTTAACGAATTAATTTTAATTTAATACACGTTAAAGGACTGACGATGATTTAATTTTATATATATAGCTTCAACATTATTATGATTAAGTACTGTTACCCGTAAAAGTTCACACAGTTAATTATATTGTTTTGCCTTAAAAAAATATTGCCATCATTTCAAGCAATACAAAGAATTCAAAAGGCAAGGTCGTACTTTGCCCTACACTCGATTAAGGCCAGTAATCTATTCAAGTTGCATCGTTTACTTAACTGGCAGCTGCGAGTTGAATGCTCTATTTTTTTATGTTTACGTGAAATAATCAGAACATATTCATTGAAACCTTTTCCTCTAAAGTGGCATTTTTAATTTCATCATTAGATAGGACAATGTTATGTTGTATTAGTATAACAATAGTATCTATTTATAAAGTTATTACTTAATAACTTTAGCAAATAATTTCAAGAATTTAAATGAAGTAAGAATTAGCAATAGCCAATTTCTGAATGTATTTAGGATCTAGAAATTAGAAAATTTCTAGGTCTAGGTAGTAGTTCTATTTCTAGGTATTGACAAATTCTCGTTTATAGATTAAAAATATTTACTTGTGTTATTACTTATTTAATGTAATAAAGAGGAAGGATTTTATTGTATGTTTGTTTATTCGCAACGAAAAGGCTCCGAAACTATGGGACCGAATTTAAAATTCTTTTAAGAATCTTTCATCTGCGAGAAACTCCATCATATGCGGTGAAGATAGGCTATATTTTATCCCGAAAAACGGCAAATAAAGGGAAGAAAATGGGAATGGAAGTTTGTATAAGGAATTAAAACAGTGCCTTAGTAACATTTGTTTACTATTCAAGTTGTCATTGTAATTATATCCGTTTCAGAATACAAATCGATATCCAAATAAATGGTTCCTTGGACCACGCGAGCAAAAACGCTGGCGGAAAGCCTCAAATAATTAATTTTTAAAATTACCAATAGCTTATTAATATCTGCATTTCGGGGAGACAGGCCTATTCCGTGGTAGAAACATAAATAGAAGGGGCCATAACTACCACGAGGCCCAGCGCAAAATGATTTTTTTTTTATAAATAGAAGTATTAACTTGAACAATATTCTAATGTATTCATCTAAAACCAACTTGTAATAACTTCTTACTATCATTAAAAACATGTATCGTTTACAATGTAAATATATCCCCGAGGAAAGAATTACAGAAAAGTAGATTTTACTAGATGCCTTTTAAGTAAGTGTTTATTATTCAACAAGGCCGGACTACATACATCATAATATTCTATTTTCAATACTGTTCTCATGTTTACCGATTGAAGCTAGAACATTACCATTTATTTTGCGATCTCATTCATCATTTTCTGTAATAAAAACGTTGAAAAGTATATTACAGTTTTGTTATGAATTTCATAATGTCATTTTGGTATGAGTCTCATAGATTATACGCTTGTACAATGTATTTATTTACTGACTTTTGTAATATATTGGCATTTAAAGTAGACATTGTAATATAAGTGGCTCGTTGTAAATCAAAATTTATTCAGTTCAGAAAGTTTCAAGTTTTGTTTCACTCGCTGCTGATATAGAAAAGGTGCGGAAATTTCTTATGAAACGAAGGTTTTAGTCATTTTTTCAGACCACAAAAATCATTAACCTACAATAAATAGTTGACATGATGTATTTACTTTATGGTTTTAAATTCATTTGTTTATATAATATAATATATTTTTATTAAATTGTTAGAACACCACATCGCAATTGTCATAATATCCGAGCAATGTCTTACGTAGGAAATTTAAAATATAATTATCTATTTTGCCACAAATAGTTTGTCGATGATAATGTCCTATTTTATCACTTAGCCCGCGACA